GCGGTCACTCCGTCAGCGTCGAGTCTTCTGAGGAGAGGTGAGCAGTTCACAGTATTTCACTTATTTACACAATTTTAAAATACACTTTACACAGTATGCTTATGCAACAATATTCGAGGTCGTTTCAGCCTTATTTTAATCGTGCACAGCGCTGTTTCTGTGTTTGCTAACTTAAAGAAACGTGAGGAAAACAAATGCATATAATGTGTGAAATATCACATGAGATTGCAGTGTTACTGATTGAGCCTTTTAAACTAATGTGCTCTTTGTATCTATGCCATTTCTTTTAATATTGTAATATAATGATCTACAAAGAGGCAATGCTTTTTATTTGTATATATATATTTTTATATACATTTTATGAACATACAATATATTTTTTTTATGTAGGCTCTTGTCTCTTCAAATATTTGAATTTAGAGGACATCTCCTTCACCTACATAAATGCTTAAATTATTTTAAAAATAAAAAAAGTAACTGACTATAACATTATTTATTTTTTGGATTTATTTATTGTTGATTTTGGCAAATCTGCTTCTTTCACTTAGACATGCATGTCCAGTGAAGCTCGTCCCACAACAATCACACATTCAGTAAATCACCAATAAATGCTGAAGTGAGGACGAGCATCAAATCATCAGGAAGAGCTGAAATCTGCAAAGACTGAGTTTATTAAAGAGGACAGAGAGAAGCTGTTGAATAATCTTGCTGAAGCCGCAAACAATAAGGGACACTTCTATCTCGCAAGAGTCGCTGTTTTTATATGCAGTAATATTAGGACTTTTGTCTATGATGCATTTGTGTTATTCGCAGAGGAGCTACAGAGCGCTCAACATGAAAGCCCTGTTTAATTGTGATGATAGAGCAGAGAACTAAACAATCAAACATCTGCTTACACTTTAGGTCTGTGGCTGTGATATTAAGCTCATTTTATTGTCGATTTTGTTAAGCTATTTGGTAAAACTATTAAAAACAAGCTGTGTTTAGCGCAGCTTATTTCCCTTCACAGGGAAATAAGGGAAATTTCCCTGAAATTTCCCTAAAACCCCAAATTAACCATAATCCACACAATGCTAAATTGCGGGACATGTTAACATGATAAAATGTTGAAAGCACAATAATCCACATGAAAGACGCTGTTCCCCAGGCTGAGTTGTGTCTGTGGGGTCCAAAACGGACAAGCAAAGTAAACTTTGGGCTTTGGGTGTGCGTCCAAACGATCAAATACACACAAAAATTTCAAAAGTGCCCGACAGTACTCACTTAAACACAGTTTATGTCTTAAGTGAACATGAACACCTGGGAGAAAATCTGATGTGTGTGAATATATGCAGTCACCTTCTGAAGATTGAGCCAGCAATGTTAATCAAACAACAAAATCACTCACAGCTCTTAATCTAAAAAACATTAGCTTTAATAAGCATCCATCTATCAAATTATACAGTGCAAGCTATGCAGTGTTATATTACATTTAGTTATTAGATTTCTTTTGTAGGCTGTATTACTTACCTGAACGGTAGGAATGTGACGAGATCTCGTGGTATGTGACGATATCCTCGCAAAACATTTAGCAGTGTTTACATTAGAGCTGCACTATTAAGTGTTAAAAAATTGCGATCTTGATTCAAACACCCACGCAATCTTATTCCTGAATGACAACGATTCAATGTCTATCATGACTGTTTCAAATTGGGAGTTTCAGTGGAGCGTGAGAAGCAGGTTTTGTCGCTGCCCATGTTAATGAATCAGAGAGTCGGCCATCATCACGCTTCTGATGTGAACGCTGTCATTCACTGATATGGGCGCCGACAAAACACGCGCTGCTCGCGCTCTACTGATGCTTACGATGTGAAACATGTGTTAAAGACATTCAAATCTGTATTCATGCTGCTGCTGATCCAGAAAGAGCAACACAAACAAGTCTTTTCAACCACACATCATTATTTCTGTTACAGACTTTTAAATAACAGAAGTACTGGGATAAAAGTTTATAGTTTGGGTATAAACACGTATTCTCTACAGTAGCGATCAAAACGAAAGTATCTTAAAGGGATACTCCACCCCAAAATGAAAATGTTGTCATTAGTCACTTACCCCCATGTCGTTCCAAACCCGTAAAATTTTCGTTCGTCTTCGGAACACAATTTAAGATATTTTGGATGAAAACCGGGAGGCTTGTGACTGTCCCATTGACTGCCAAGTAAATTACACTGTCAAGGTCCAGAAAAGTATGAAAGACATCGTCAGAATAGTCCATCTGCCGTCAGTGGTTCAACCGTAACGTTATGAAGCGACGAGAATACTTTTTTACGCAAAGAAAACAAAAATAATGACTTTATTCAACAATTCGTCTCTCCGCATCACCGTAGCGCCATTTTGGAGAATATGAGCTGGACGCAAGCAGCGTACGCTCTTCTGTGTCAGCCACACTGCACGGATGCGCTGTTTTCATTCAAATCAAAGCGTAAACACACGTAGAAAACGTATCCTTGTGTCGTGGCTGACACAGAACAGCGTACGCTGCTTGCGTTCAGCGGATATTCTCCAAAATGGCGCTACGGTGATGCGGAGATAAATACAAGTGATCGACCGATATTGATTTTTTATAACCGATACTAATTATTTGCATGTTTATGTGCCCAATAACCGATATGCAGAACCAATATTTATTTACTGTTATAAAGTAAATACATGACTGAGTGAAGTAAGAACATACTTCACTTTGGTTTTTCCTCTTTTCAGTCATCTTTTTTTTTTAAGTGTTGAAAATTAGCAGTTTTTCATGTTAAATTTAATCTTCATATTACAACAATAAAAAAA